ATCATGTCATCTGCAAATAGAGACAATTTGACTTCCTCTCTTACTATCTGAATACCCTTTATTTCCTTCTCTTGCCCGATTGCTCTGGCTAGAACTTCCAATACTATGTTGAATAGGAATGGTGAGAGAGGACATCCTCGTCTTGTGCTAGTTTTCAAAGGGAATGCTTCCAGCTTTTGCCCATTCAGTATTATATTGGCTGTGGGTTTGTCATAAATAGCTCTTATTTTGAGATACTTTCCATCAATACCTAGTTTATTGAGTTTTTAGCATCAAGGGGTGTTGAATTTTATCAATGGCCTTTTCTGTATCTATTGAGTTAATCTTGTGTCTTTTGTCATTGGTTCTGTTTATGTGATGGGCTACGTTTATTGATTTGCATATATTGAGGCAGCCTTGCATCCCAGGGATGAACCTGACATCTTGATAGTGGTGGATAAGCTTTTTAATGTGCTCTGAATTCAGTTTGCCAGTATTTTATTGAGGATTTTTGCATCAATGTTCATCAGGGATAGTGGCCTGAAATTTTCTCTTTTTGCTGTGTCTCTGCCAGGTTTTGGTATCAGGATGACGCTGGCCTCATGAAATGAGTTAGGGAGGAATCCCTCTTTTCTATTGTTTGGAATAGTTTCAGAAGGAATGGTAACCAGCACCTCTTTGTATTTCTGGTAGAATTTGGCTGTGAATCCGCCTGGTCCTGGGCTTTTTTAGGTTGGTAGGCTATTAATTACTGTCTCAATTTCAGAACTTGTTATTGATCTATTCAGGGATTTGACTTCTTCCTGGTTTAGGATTGGGAGGCTGTATATATCCAGGAAATTATCCATTTCTTCTACATTTTCTAGTTTATTTGTATAGAGGTGTTGAGTATTCTCTGATAGTAGTTTGTATTTCTGTGAGATCAGTGGTGACCCCATTTACATTGTGTCTATTTGATTCTTCTCTCTTTTCTTCTTCCTTAGTCTGGCTAGCAGTCTATTTTGTTAATATTTTCAAAAAGCCGGCTCCTGAATTCATTGATTTTTGAAGGGTTTTTTGTGTCTTTGTCTCCTTCAGTTCTGTTCTCATCTTAGTTATTTCTTGTCTTCTGCTAGCTTTTGAATTTGTTTTTGCTTCTCTCATTCTTTTAATTGTGATGTTAGGGTGTCAATTTTAGATCTTTCCTGCTTTCTCACACAGACATTTAGTGCTATAAATTTCCCTCTCAACACTGCCTTAGCTATGTCCCAGAGATTCTGGCATGTTGTGTCTTTGTTGCCATTGGTTTCAAAGAATTCATTCATTTCTGCCTTAATCTCATTATTTACCCAGTAGTCATTCAGGAGCAGGTTGTTCAGTTTCCATGTAGTTGTATGGTTTGGAGTGAGTTTCTTAATTCTCAGTTCTAATTTGATTGCACTGTGGTCTGAGAGACTGTTATGATTTCCATTCTTTTGCATTTGCTGAGTGTTTTACCTGCAATTATGGGGTCAATTTTAGAATTCATGCTGTGTGGTGCTGAGAAGAATGCATATTCTGTTGATTTGAGGTGGAGAGTTCTGTAGAAGTCTATTAGGTCCACTTGGTCCAGAGACGAGTTCATGTCCTGAATATCTTTGTTAATTTCTGTCTGTAATATTGACAGTGGGGTGTTAAAGTCTCCAACTATTATTGTGTATGAGTCTAAGTCTCTTTGTAGGTCTCCAAGAATTTGCTTTATGAATCTGAGTGCTCCTATATTGGATGTGTAGATATTTAGGATACTTAGCTCTTCTTGTTGCATTGATCCCTTTACCATTATGTAATACTCTTCTTTGTCTTTTTTGATCTTTGTTGGTTTAAAGTCTGTTTTATCCGAGACTAGGACTGCAAACCCTGCTATTTTTGCTTTTCATTTACTTGGTAAATATTCCTCCATCCATTTATTTTGAGCCTATGTGGCGTCTTTGCACATGAGATGGCTCTCCTGAATACAGCACACCAATGTGTCTTGAATCTATCCAATTTGTCAGTCTGTGTCTTTTAATTAAGGTATTTAGCCCATACTTTAAAGGTTAATACTGTTATGTATGTATTTGATCCTATCATTATGATGCTAGCTGGTCATTTTGTACATTAGTTGATGCAGTTTATGTGTCAGTGGTCTTTACATTTTGGTATGTTTGTTCAGTGGCTGGTACCGGTTTTTCCTTTCCATGTTCAGTGCTTCCTTCAGGAGCTCTTATAAGACACGTCTGGTAGTTACAAAATCCCTCAGCATTTGCCAGTCTGTAAAGGATTTTATTTATCCTACACTTACGAAACTTAGTTTGACTAGCAATGAAATTCTGGGTTGAAAATTCTTTTCTTTAAGAATATTGAATATCATCTCCCACTTTCTTCTGGCTTGCATGGTTTCTGCCAAGAGATTTTCTATTAGTCTGATGGGCTTCCCTTTGTGGGTAACCCAACCTTTCTCTCAGGCTGCCCTTAACATTTTTTTCTTTTGTTACAACCTTGGTGAATCTCACCATTATGTGTCTTGAGGTTGCTCTTCTCAAGAAGTATCTTTGTGGTGTTCACTGTATTTCCTGAATTTGAGTGTTCTGAACTCAGTTCAAACTTCCCTGTCTTTCTGGTGTTTGGGAAACTCCTTCCCTCATTTGTTCTTATGCTCATCAAGTAATTATTGATCTCTGCCATATACCCAGGCACAATACTAGATGCTTCCAAGTTTGCTTAGACCTTGCTGTCTCCCTCTCCCCTTCCTCTTCCTCCAAGGTTAGGGAGCCAAACTGATTGGCCCTAGAGAAGTCAGATGCTGTCACCTATTTGACTAAAAGTTTTGTCACTGCTCAGATGCTCTTAATACTCCTGATGCTATGGATCTACTCATAGTATTATCTTCTTTGATATGACTACTACCTGGATTGGATCCAAGTTAATGCCATATCTTCAGACATTCATCTATAGTAGTGGCCATTCTCTTTGAGTGGCAACCCTTTTCCTGTTAGTCACCTGGCTATTCCTGTTACAGTCCCTATTTTAAGGCCCACATTAAACTCCCAGTAAGCAGCTGATTATGACCTTTCCATTCATTTCTGAATCTCCATGTCATTATCCTCAGCAAAACAGGGTTGACTACAGAAAGGATAAAAAAAGTCACAGGTAAGGTTTTGAAAGCAAATTTCCTGTATTAAAGCTTTCTCTACAGTCAGTAGAGTCCCAAATGCCTTAAAATTGAATAATTAAAATGATTTCTATGCTTATTACAAAGTCATCACTCTGAATAATGTGTATTTTTAGACAATGATCTCAGGATGCCTTTAGCAGAAAGGTAATTCCACATTCAAATCTAGTCATTTGAAGAAAAATTAACATAAATCCTGAATGTGCTCACAACTAATAAAAATAATCTTTGTCTAAGCAGATAATTTTCTAACAAAAGCATCAGAAAATGTGATGACTGTTCTGATGGTTTCAGAAATCTGTAACTTAGTGATTATATAAACAACATATTTGTTAGTTTGTCCCAGGATTGCACATATGAAACCCTAGAATAGACTTGAGAGTCAAGACTTAAGGACTAGGTCAGGTAATGGGGTGGCCAGTGTTCTCCTCTTCAATCTGGGACCTGCACTTGCTGATCTCAAAGGTGCTCCTGATTGCAGAGAGGTACACCAAAGACTTATTAGATTTTGAAACTGTAAGTGACAGCCAAGTGCAAATGAGACTTTTGTCCTACATGTTCTGTTAGAGAATGATTATAGTTAACTAAATGGAAATCTTCATGCTATCCCGATATAGCCATATGAAACTAGCAGTTGTCACAAAAGCAACTTTAACTATCACACTTTTAACTGAGCCTCAAATTTCAACTGTATAAAACTGATCATTGGTATCACTGTCCATGTAATATGGAGATCCCTTCCACCTTGAAATGCAACCCCCTACTCTTTTTTGGAACGACTGTTGCATTAAGTTCTAAAAGAGAATAATAATTATATTAAATTCGGGTTTTAAAATATTTTTGGAAAAAAATTAGCACATGCTACAGTTAGCAAACCAGAAAAACATGGGTCTTCATATTCCCATGACCCCATAATATTTCATATAACCTAGTGACATAAATTATTGACAGATACATTCTGATCATTGCAAATTTCAACATCTATTTAAATTTAAATGCAGAATCAGTATATCACAATTAACATCAAAGCACCTTTTTCAACTTAACACTAATTGTTACATTAATCTATTACATTTTGATGAATAAATATGAATAGAGATTTTACTAAAGTCATGTATTAAACACACACTCCAGAAATCCAAACAGTTAAATAAAAATGTGTGTTTCAAAGCAAGAGTCACCCATATTTTCTGCTCAGCAAACATTAAATATCGATAACCACCCAGCTTATCAACTTTAGCTCCTTTTTTAAGCCCTCAGAGTTTCAGCCTCTCCTGATTAATTCTCCATTGATGAGACTTCCAAGTCTATGATATTGATTTGCTATTTTCAGAATTTTCCTAGCACTTGTAGCTATGAAATAATTTCAACTTAAATTACAGAAGAATAAGAAAGGTGCCTTTTCAAGAAAAAGAACTATACAGATTTTTTTTCAAGGAGAAAGGAAAGGGAAAAATATCCTCAAAATTAAAAACTATATATACTAATTTTAAATATCATTATTACCTCTAAAGGCAGCTGAAAATGTGTACTGATTATACTGCTAAGTTAAACGATCACTGTAACACAGACCACTGTAACACCTGCCAGTCTTAGGATTTATTTTGAAGAAAAATTTAGATGGAAAAAAATGCTATAATGTAAATGTCCACATGATTTAGCCAGAAGATGAATACCTACACAAAGTATAAATTTTTCCAGCATTTGACTGACATTTAATTTTGCTAGAAAATGCTAAGGCAACTGAAATTGTTGCCTGTGTTCATTTGATTTAGTTCAATAATAACTTTAGCACTAAATCTGAGCACTCTGAATTACAAACTTAATGAACGAAGAATGAAAACACGCTTACCACGGGTTGTAATGGGGCGCCAGGCATCATGGCATTGGCTAGTTGCATTTGCTGGGCCAACATGGCCATGTTCTTCTGTTGAATCAAGTTATTGCGTCCATTTATCTCCAACTGCGTTTTTAAATGTGGGGGTGGATGAAGATATTTGCAGTTCTCCCTGGAGCAACGGCCCTAGGAAAACAAAAGCAGCAAACATTACCTTAAAAAAGAATAAAATCAGCAAATTATGAAAAAAATTATAATGCAAACCACCCACTTGAAAGTATCATGGGCTTTTCACACAAGGCATTGTCCATATCATTTTATCATACATTTAGAACAAGTAATGAATTCACCAAAATGCATTATCAATATGAGAGATTGAAACATTTGAAAAAGTTTAAAAGCTTAAAGAGTTCCAAATATTTTAATGATATTAGCATTAATATTTCCAGATTTAAGTTTAAAATCTACAAACTGCTAGGGTAATACTAAAACACAGAATATCAAGTAAAGAATATCAGGCTCCTGCCATATCTTCCTGGTTAAATTTAATGATTTACGAATTAAAGTTTTATAATTTACTTTTACTTGTACCAAAAACTTAGGAAACAAACTTAGAGGACTCAAGGCACATTGCATCTTCAGTAAAACACCTTTACAAATATCTAATAACAAATCAAATTAAAATTGCTACTAGGCTTTACCAGCCCATGCATTAAGAATTTGCAATTGAGAAAAAGAAAATGCCCATGCATTCCCACTGTTTACACAGAGATTAATATGTATAATGAAATATTGGTGAAAAATGTAACCTTTAGCTTTTCAAAGATTAAATCAAGTCTTCTCCATTTCACAAAAACAATGAAACAAGAAGAAATGGATTTATTTACCCTCCAAAAATTTTATAAAATGGAGAAACAAAATAAGTTGCTATAAGCCAGGAATGGTGCTGCACTACCTCTGTACTCTGTCCTGAGCAATTCATTCTAGTACCTTCCTTGCCTATACATCACCCAGACCATCCTACAAATGAACATAGCCTGGACTGAAATAATGGAGAGAAATCATACATGTTTAGTAATCTTAGCACTTTCAGAGGCTGAGGCAAGAAGTCCCCTGAGCCCAGGAGTTTGAGACCAGCTTGGGTAAAAGAGCTCTCACCTCAAAAAAAGTTACTATAAAATTATAAGTATAACTATACCTTCCTTTTGGATAATTCTTTTTAATTAAAATATTCATTAAAGTCTGTAATGTGCAATATGGCGAGAGGCACTCTATTCATATTATTTCAATATATTTTCAAATCGTATTGATAGTAGCAGATCTCATCAACCATCTTGACAACTTCCTTCACCAATAAATCTAAGACTGTTTACAAACAGTAGAAGAAAAGATTAATTGAAGCCATCATTCAGATTCTAAAAAAGCCAATTTGGTATAATTTAACTTTATACTATAAATTGACTCTGATGTTTATGCTTATGATAAAATCTGTCATAATTCTAATTTAAATAATCAGTTTTGTTTCCTTTTGTATGAAGTTTTTAGGAATGTCTCTACACTGGGCTAGAATCATAGGATACTGCTTGTTATTTTTACGAGCTTTATGTAATACTTGAAATCAGTAGGCAGTGGAGGACAGTGGATAGCAAGGACCTACAGGTCTCATGAGCTGGGACAGAGGCCTTGCTCTCTCACTCATCAACTGCATGAACTGCATAAGAAATTTCTGTAAGCCTCAGGCTCTCTATCTAGTACAGAATTATTAGAAAACCTGTATCACTGCCACCACAATGTAAATTGTGTATCAGACAAAAGAAAAATAAAACATTGGTATGAAGACCATTGTTTAAACATGTATTAGTTATGGCTATTGGTAGGCTCACAAAGTAACATAATACTAAACTTATTCCATATAAAATCACCATGCTTGATTTATGTTGGGATCATGAGCAGGTTATTAGCTTAAAAGCATCCTGATGCAAAACAACCAAAAACAACCTTAGAATCACAGGATAAACTACAGACTAGGACTGGCAAAAATAAATAAATTCCTGGATGGCACATGGTCTAATTTCAGGGATATTCAGTTGAAGTCTCCTAGAAAAAGTCTGCTTTTTCAATACAAGAATAATTTGGCTGTAAGAGAAATTCTTGTTCTCAATTATCTCCACATCATATTTCTTACTAAAACTAGATTTCTTTAAATGCAGATAAGCGGGATTATAGTCACCCCAAGAATTTACTTCCTGTCAATTCACTCATGTCAGTTTCTATAGTTTCACAAATAGTACACAGATAGTCCTGGGCCATCAGCAAGACCTTCCAACACTACTCTGGTCTTCCTAAGCACTTCATTCCAGTACCTTTCTTAAATATATATCACCCAGACAGACCATCCTACCAATGAACATAGCCTGGACTGAAATAATGGAGAGAAACTACGTGTGTTTGCTAAACATTCTGCATCACTGCATCTCAAAACTTTTACAACAAGCTCAGACCTTTGATTTTCATTTTGAATTTCCGACATCTACTCAGAAAAAATGCTGTTCTACTTTTCGTACCTATGGTCCCTTCCTATGCCCAGCTTGATTTGATTGTGTCGAGCCCTCACTTTCAAAAATCTGTGTTCCTAAGAATCAACTGATATTTGGTGGAAAAAGTATACAGACTACCAAGCCTCTCTCACAGAGAGCTGTGACCACAGGTTTGAGGATCCAGAAATTGACATTTTAATAAGCATTCCAGATGATTCTGCTATAGCAGAAAACACTACAAAATACAAATGTGCAAAGCCATATAAATTTTTACTTAACATGTGTGGAAAAGACGACAGAATAATATATGAGATAAACTGTGGATAAATTTATTAGATAAATTTACATTGTGGCAGTGATACGGGTTTTCGAATAATATTAAACTTTGCTTCTTAGGAAGTTCAAAACATGTTTAATGCTTACTGCTGCTGAATCATTATGGTCTGACAAATAAAAAGGTCAAAAATAAGTTAGAATAAACATCCTCCATTAGAACTGCCTAAAACCACCAGGAACATACCTTCCTTTGAGAGTTAAGGTAAATATTACACTGGTATGTTGCCAGCTTCATCCATCTCTGAGTCCTTAGTAGCATCACACCTCAATAAACATTCACAGAATGAATGAATGAATGAATGAATGTTTATTTCTTACTAAATGCCTCAAGATGTATTGTATTCTAACTCTATTCTAGAGACAATAGAGATAACAGAAAAAAACTAAATATAAGACCAAATCTTGGTTCTAAGTTGTACTGATCTAATGATGCTTTTATTAAGAGGCCAGTCATTTAAATACATGATAAAGCTAGCCACAGTTGAAAAGAAAACAAGGAAGTTTTTAAGTTTCACCAGGGACAAAAGGAGGTTTATACAGACATTCAATGTTTTTGGCATCCTAAAACCTATACAATGACAATACATTTTGAAAGTCTAAAAACAGAAATTCATTAGTATCTGGAGTTCACATATACAGACTTTTATATTGGAGCTACTACTCTAAATCATTTAGGGATTTCACTTAAAGATACATTAAATTAGGCTACTAAACTAATGTAAAATATAAAAGATCTTTGTCTTCAGTTTTGATGGGTAGAGTAGCTCCAATTATTGTAATAACTGTATAATTTTATTAAATATAGCTTTGTTCAAATTGTAGCTCTGATACTTATTTGCTGTATACCTTGTGGAAGTTAGTGCAATTCTCTGAGTGGTCACATCTTTTCTATATAAGAGTATCAATGACGTCTATTCTCATTAGTGATGTATGAAGATTGGTAAGACTACAGGCCATCCTCACAAATGGCACCTGGCATAATAGGCAGCCAATAAATATTAGTTATATTCCTCTCTTAAGTTCTCAAGCTAATAACAAGCAGCAGTTGCTCAATTTAACCGCATATCTGCTAAAACCTCTAAAAATAATACAGGTAGTAAAACCAAGTGGCAATGCATATCAATCATCAGTAATGTAATACAAGCTTGGCTCTTAATCATCACTGTATATTTGCCACATCCACCAAGAAAAAGTGCCATTGTAACACATTTCTTTTAATGTTATGTTTCTGTGCCTTGCTTCTGTTGATTATACTGAAATCTTACTTTTGGAGAGTTATCCAGCTGCCCAGCAGGCCATTCCATAGAGCCTACATAGTATTAGGTTGGGGAAAAGTAAGTGTGGTTTTTGCCACTAAAAGCAAAACTTTTGCCTCAGCCTAACAGATCCCTTCGGCTCCACTCAAGGAGGCTTTTAAAATAGAATTAATTCAACAAAGATTCCAAAGACAATATTGCAATACATATAGTATATATTTTAAGGGAAAGGAGGAAAGTTAATAAAATATTGGTTTCCACCAAGTTTTTTTTGTAATAATTTTTCTATACTTTTCAATTAAAAGTAATCTGTCCAAACAAAGGCAAAATTTACCCGCTGTAGTCTTAAAAACCTGTATGTGACCAGTAACAGTCATTCAATAAATAAATTAATCAAGTAATTTCTGAAGTTGTAAGTTGTTCAATTGTGAATTTGAGAATTGTCTCATTAGTCTTTCAAACTGCCATAATTTTTTTTGGCTATAATGAAGGAAAATACACATTTAGATTAAGTGTTTAATCCTCAAAATAAATGTACGGTTCATTTATAAACATTAAAGTTTAATAGAGTATACTTTTATATTATATATGTGCAAATATAGTATATAAACTGTATATGTGATATATATAGTAAGTTATAAATTAAAAATATGATGGAAGCTAGTCAAATTAACAGCTAGTAATTAACAGCTAGTCAAATAAGAATAAAAGTGAATGAAACTAGATATGGTAAGTTAGAAATATGAGAAAGAAAGCTATTTCCTAGCTATGCATTTATGAACTAGCTAATTGAGAACAAAACGATTAGAAGTTGGTTGGACTTAATTTTTTAAAAAAATCAACATCTTAAATGAAACTAATTTTCCATTTTTAATTATATTCTTCTACTTAAGAAGAAAGGAATATTGTGATTTACGAAGTCAGACTCTAAAGACACATGTTATTAAGCTGCCAAATGCTAACTGTGTGGCAGGATTACAATTACCAAGTTCTATTTAGGTAGACTCTGGATATAAAGGAGAAATGGAAAGGGTACAGGGCTACTAGCTTATATTCA